TCACTTGAATAATATTCCCCTGGGGTTCATTTATACTGAGATGCCTTTGACTTGCACCTAATATCTAGTCTATTTTTAATCTAATTTTTATTTTAATTAAAGATTAATTTTGCTATTGACATGTTGGATTGTGTGAAGTCTGCCTTTTACTGATTAACTTGGTTACTCCTTCTAGGTGACACATCTTTTATTAACTGTTGTGAAAAGATTTGCATATTTGCCTTCCCACATAAACATGGCTTACAACTTAATTTTAAAAAGCACCTGCCCGGTATTGTTCTATGGTGAATGAGATTTCTAGTACAACACTCCCTGGAATCCATACAAGTAAAGCCAGTGATGTTAAGCTTCTAAAATAAATTTAATTTCCAAGCCCTGACTAAGCTAATAGACTGCAGCAACCTACAAACAATCATTTATACAATGCCCTCCTAAATATGTAGAACGAAATTCTTCAGAAATCCATTCTGACTTCTAGAATTTCCAACTTGCCTTCTCATTTCTCACTATATGTTTCATTCTAGTGAGTGTTTTTAAGGAGGCTTATTTAATAGTGTGGACTATTGGACTTTATCCCACTGAAGTGAAGTTTATGATCATGCAATCCTGTTCAGTTTTGTCATGATCATCAAGCAGGTAGCTTGGTTAAGATAAGCTTTATATTCAGAAGCCCAGTTTGCAATGTTATTTGAATAAAATATCCAGTGTTGGCAGTTCATAAGCGAAGATACTCACCCAGCAGAAATGGGCTTTTATTGTAGTAGAAGTAATCCAATGTTGTTGACTCACATGCGTCATGTTGTCATGTGCAATTTCTTCCATGCTATGAAATCTAGTGGGTGCTAGAATTTCACTGTGAACAATATTGAAAGAGAACTGACCTAAATGTGGTTACTGAAGTCTTGTTTGTATATTGCTGGCAAAATATAGGCAGCAAAACATGCTTATCAGACAAAAAAAGAAAATTAAATACTAATCTGTTCTTGCTTTTATTGAGCTATTGAGTCTGCAAGATAAATTATACTTATACAGAAGTGACTCTGTGTGGGAATAACATTCTGACTAAGAGACCTCGTTCCAATGGCAAAAATATTGCTAGTTTTGTGAAATTACTTGTACAATACTTACCCCTCTTGGTGAAGGACAATTATAAAGGGTACACACATACACCTAAAAACTAAATGCTTGATGCTGAATATTGTTTTTCTGTATTGTTAAAACGTAATCCCTGTGAGAATTTTTTACGTTCTTGAAAAGTATAAGGGACATAAGATTTTGCAAACATGGTTTGTTTTATTTTGAGAAGCATTTTACAGAAGGACACAATGTTTTAATTATCTTGTCCTTGCTAGCTGTAAAATTCCAGAATGGTAATGCTTCTACCACTGCGCTTGCTAGAGAATTCTACTGATTAATACATCTTACAATCGAAATATTTTCCTAATATTCAGCCTCCAATTTTTTATTTAAACAGTTCTAGTTTTATAAAAAGGCTTCATCTTTTTTAAAAAAAAAAACTACTTTAAATTCAAGTTGTTTGTTATGTGATCATATTTTATTCAGCAAATGTTCTCTCCTTTCTTGCTATTCAGTTCTTACAATGTAAATCCGGATTCCTCAAAGCATCAAATTACAACAACACGATTTCAAGGTGAGTGAAACAAAATGTAATTTGATCTTCAAAGGTATCTATTTTTATACAAAAATATTTTCCTGTACCCAAAAGTATGCAGGTGGTGTGGTGGTCGTCTGTTTAAATGTCATCTGAGAGAGTAGGGTAGAAGTTTAAAATACTAAATACAAATTGAGAATATAAATTACTTCTATGGGTTATTTCTTCTTTTTTCTTCCATGTCATGAACAAAAATGTTTCTTTGGAGAGAGAAGGTGGGTGAGCTCTGTGTGGCTTGAAAGCTTGTCTCTCTCACCAACAGAAGTTGGTCCAATAAAAGATAATACCTCCCCCACCTTGTCTCTCTAATATCCTGGGCCTGAGATAGCTACAACTACACTGCATGCAAAAATATTTGATGTAATAATATTTGATTATCTACTAAAACACTGCATGCCTATGTTTTTCGGCAACCACAGCAAACTTGAAGACTTTGTGTGCTTTGTCTGTTAAATGCAGTATGTTGGAAACAGGTATTTGTCTAATATAAATGTTATTTCCATTTCATTACTTCTGTTATGATATAGGTTCTTATACCCTGCTTATCAACGTCATATCTGAGCACCTTCCGCTAGCACATTAAGCATCGTGACTAACATTTGTCATGTGGTGTTTATTCTCTGATCCTCTCCCCGAGGGGAGAAAGGAGTCCAGTGGACTGTCTTTTGTTGGTAGGTTTTCTCTGGAGGGCGGGGAGCATACGTGGTGGCTTTTTAACGTGAATTCTGTTATGTATCTGTTAGAGACGGCAGGTCAAAGAAATGCATCTTTCACTTGGAGTGGAAGGTGATAAGGTTTGTGTAGTTTCTGGGGAAGTTCATTGCACAGTCTCAGCCCAGCTCCAGAGAAAGTTACGTCTCCCATGCAGAGGAGCTTGATATTTATTGTAGAGAGGAGTGTAGTTGTCAAACATGATTTTTGTCCTGGGGCCTTAGGCAGTGCTGTAGATATCAGGCCACGGAGTGCCTTGACGATAAGGACAGAAACCTTGAATGTGATCCGGTATTCTCTGGGAAAGCAGTACTGGGGTGGCGGAACTGGAGGGCCAGTGGGGGCTAGCGCTTCTGCAGTGGAAATATTGCGGGGGCTGATCTATGTCCTCCCCGTCCCCCCGAGCAATATTTCCTCAGTGCCTGGGGAGAGTGTGAAATCAGGCAGCCCGGGCTTTGCTCTTCCTGTGTCCCCACCCCCTGGGCACTGGGCAGAGGACATACCTGGAGGCAGGGAATGGAACTTGGCTGAGCGAAGCCACATCATTTTGAGGGGGGCCGGCATTTCCTCTCAGGAGCAGAAGACTGGGAGCTGAGCGAGCATTTGCTTAGGGTGCCCAGAGTAGGGAAGCAGGACCAGGGACACTGTCCTGACCATTTCCTTAGCCTGCCATGCCAAGGTGAGTGCCTGCCCTGCTGCCCAGGCTCTCTCTGGGAATGTCTACACAGGAATAAAAAATCTGGTGGCTGGCCTGGGTCAGCTGAGTGGGGCTCGCAGGGCTCAGGCTCTGGAGCTGAAAAATTGCTGTGTGGGCTCTGGCTGGGGCTCTGCGAAGGTCCTAGAGCCCCCCAAGCCCGAGTCAGCTGACATGGGCCAGCCACGGCCATGCTAGAAGCCCAAGTCAGACCCTGTGGGTGCGTCACCAAGGCAACATCATCCTGGGTCCGCCCTTTACCCTGTGTAGACGAACCCTCTGAACCTTTGACTCCTTGATACATGCCCCCCACTCAAACCTCAGCCCCCCAGCTTTTCAAGTCATGCTTCTGCTGCTTTGAGCCAGTGTGGAGCGCAGAGGAGAGCTCTGATGTGCTCCCAGTAGCCTTCCATAGTCCCCTATTAAGAATGAAGGAGAAAATGATATGTTGTTCTTTGGGTGAAAAATAAATATATAAAACCAGAAAGATTATAAGCAAATAAAAGATTTCATCTATAAGGAGGCAGCATTGCATGTGCTAGTTCCTCACATGGATGATATGGTGCTCTGAGTGTGTAGTTACAGTACATGGTGCTTTAAAACAGGTATGTGAACTAAAGTAATTGCTTAATTGCATTGAATATATACGATAAAGAATCTCACGTGGGCTTCATAAGGACTAGACAGTATTTTGCATAGCATACACATGGTCCATTGTTAAATAAGAATATTCAATGTGACTAGACACTGAAGAAACTAATATCCTGCTATAAAAATGTTGTTTATATACATATATGGAGATACACCTATTTCATAGAACTGGAAGGGACCTTGAGTCCAGTCCCCTCCATTCACTAGCAGTACCAAGTACTGGCCCTGACAGTTTTTGTTTTTTTCTCCCCAGAGAAAATCCCTAAATAGCTCCCTTAAGGATTGAACTCACAACTGTGGGTTTAGCAGGCCAATGCGCAAACCACTAAGCTATCCCTCCCCCTAATGAACATCTCTGTAGGTGTCCATTCCTGGAGCAGAGCGGAACTTCTAGAGGAATGCTTCAGCTTAGTTTTGTTTTATAGTGGGAAGAAGAGCAGATTCATGGACAGCCTAGTTCTCCGTTAGTTAGCTTGTGTAATTATCAACACTTGTCATCAGTCACCTTTTGTTGTTTGTCCCTTGCAGTTACTACTTCTGCTGAAAAATTAACCCTAGCCTGTGACATCAGAATGCGTGTTTTTTCCTGCTTTTTCTAAGATTTTGCACTACGAAAAAAATGCCATAACCTCTGCTTTAACCTGAAATGAGTTTAAAATGTTTCTGTTCTATGCAGTTACACGTAATACAAGAACAAGTATTTGTTCCTGACAATACTGAAAAGTACAACCAATGAAAAGTTTAGTCTAAATTAGTACTTTGAAGTCTAAAGAAAGATGTGTGTAAGACTGAAGTATAGAACTATTTTCATTTTAATTGTTTATCTTCCTTTTGCAGGATACATGACTGATGCTGGCTGATGGCTCTGGTTTACACATTAACAGACATTGGAAGAAAATCATGGAAAAGTTAGGAAATAAATGTCCTACATTTGTACTGAAATTTCTTTAGTGAAAATAAAACCCTTCTCAGGTAACTTTCACTACAACTTCTTTCTTCCATTGAGCTGGACTTGTAGTAGGAATCCACTGCATTTGAGTAAAGCAGAAAGACCGGAGGTGGATCATTGCTCTTGCCCTTGAAAATGGCTTCTGAAGCAAGCAAGGCAGTTGGCAGCATCAAAATTGCTTGCCCTTCCGAACATGCAGCTGGTTGCTTATTTGGTCTCTCCATAGTGCTAAATGTTTCCCCTTAAAGAACATAGTCACCATCAGAGCATGGCATGGTTTGGATTGTGAGTTGTGGCTGTAACTGCAGACAGCAAGAGAACCTCTTCAGATCCCTACTTACAAGCTCCCATCATGGAGTGCGTATTACTCTTTAAACACAAATGTAAAGATGCCAGACACTAGGTGGAATGTCGTAGATTCTTCATAAAAACATCCATCCTGGGTCAGACCAATGGTCCATCTAGCCAGGTGCTTCAAAGGCAATGAACAGAACAGAGCAGTTATCGAGTGACCCATCATCCCCTGTCAGCCAGTCCCAGCTTCTGGCAATCCGAGACTAGGGACACTCAGAGCATGGGGGTGTATCCCTGGCCATCTTGGCTATCGTCCATGAACTTATCTCATTCTTTTTTGAATCCAGTTATAGTTTTGGCTTTCATGTGACGTTTCTTCAGATTTACTCTCTGTCAAGGCTGTATCCCCACTTTGAACTTTAGGGTACAAATGTAGGGGCCTGCATGAAAACTTCTAAGCTTAACTACCAGCTTAGC